TCTTCCCCCAGGATATACACTAAGGGACTTTCAGGACATCATTCTGCAGAGCAGCCACATTTTAGACTTCTGTCCTTGTCTTTCTTTTGCCTTATTTTTCTTACCTACTTCTAATTCATGTTATCTTTCTAAATCATATTCAGTTATTAAAGTTCATCTTCACAAAACCTTCTCATTCTCTTTTGTCTACCTGAGCTGCATATTTATTTAAAAGCAGTTTAGCTGGTCCCAAGGCTACTTTCCCATTGATTCATGATTTAATTTAGATATGACCTTGCCCAAGATACAACCTAATTTTAAAAATATATTTTAAGTTACTTTGGGTGGTGTGATTTCTCCAAAAAGTTATTTGATGTGTGGGTTTAGGTTTATAATACTTCTTTGAAGTGCAAAATGTTGAAACACCTGCCTTAATGATCGCTGAAGTAAAAGAAATTATGTAAATGTTAAGTACTTCCTTACTTAGGATGCCTTGTTGAATTAGCTAGTTTTGGAATATTGGAACACATATGCTACTTTTAAAGGACACTGGCTTGTACCTCAAACTTCCGAAAGTCTTATTTCACAATGCAAAATGTGTTTCAAAAGAGTTGCTAATGACATTATAATTTCACGTATTTTTTGATTGTCTAAGATAAGGAGTGGTCAACTAGCAGCACAGCTTTGTGGAAAGCCTTTGAAACACTCTTGCAGAAAGCTTTCTCTAATGAATTGCATTGATCCTAGAGATTAAGAGTAATATCAAATCCTTCAAATAATTCAACTGATAATAAAATGTAGTTTAGTCTTTCCTATGACAAACTAAGTATCAATATATTGAAAAGAAAACTATATTAATTTTTTCTCAGTGACTTCGTGAAATGTCTTTTCTACACTTGGCCCCATCATTGACCAAAAATAGTATTATGATTCAGTGGGAGTTAAGGGAGGAACAGCTGATAATGTGGTTCTGACGATGCTGAACTTCATCTGAGCCTGTGTGTTCCTGGAAAGCAGCAAAGGTCTGGAAATCCCCGCCACATTTTGTATTCTGAGAAATAACCACCCTGCTTTCACATATTCCGAGATCAGACCCACCTCTACCCTTCCTCAGTGAATGTGACTCACTTGCACTCCTGGCTCTTTGAAGCCCTTGACCTCCTTCTTTCTCTTTGAGGTGTTTCTCATTAATAAATGCCCTTTCTATTGCAATAAACTGAATAAAATCATCTTTTTAAATGTCCAGTGCATTTTGTTTTTCAGTTTCTTTAAAAGAGAAGAAAAATATGGTTAAGTTCTTTGTTAAATCCAGGAAATAAAAATTTGCAGTTGGAAAAGCAAGACACTGTAGTGTGATAGAGTGTTTTAAAGCAGTGTTTACAGAGAAAGATGAGGCAGGCTGTGTTCCATAAATGAGGTGTTGGGTAGTTGGAATATAACCCTGACTGCTTTGCCTAAGGCCTTGCCAAGAAAAAACAGCAGCACCAGTACAGAATTGTAGTTGAAATAGCAGTTTTCATGCCACTTCCTTCTCTTCCTTCTTTGAGGGTGTTAAGCTCATTGAAATTTTGATCTTCATAATAATTACAGAAATAGATATAAATAGATGTAATCCTTTCTCTCATTCATCTCCATGTTAAAAAAAATTGTATGTACAGGGTTGTGTTTGTGTGAGCGTGTGTGTGGTTTGAGCAGGCTCATAAGTGGCACAATAGGAACAACAGACCTTACCCCTGAAGATTAACCCACCTGCAAGGATTTAGGCAATGTAGTCACAAGTTACGATTTTGTAGCAAATCATATACAAGTATTTGCAACCTCAGTTACTCTCTTACTTAGAAAGATGGCAAAGGCTTGTAGTGGTGATAGCAGTCATGGAAAGAAGCAGGTTTTCAATGCATAGGACTGCTTTACCTTAATTATTTTAGACAGTGCAGAAACTTCCATTAGGAAAAGGGAATGCCAGCAGATATATAAAGAAGGCTCTGCTTCATGGGGGAAAATGAACTAAAAATTTAAAAGATTCTTCAATTACAGTAATCTATAACTCAGAGCTTCTAGGCAGACCCGTGAGTGAGTCTGACACGCAGGTTCTAGTTGTAAACGGGTATTTTTCTAAAAGAAATAAGTGAAGAAATTTAAATATGACTAGACATTTCATTTGTATCTAAAATAATTTTACTTCTAAATGTTCTTTACATTGCTAGTTGCAACCTACTTGTAATAGCACACAATGGGAAATAACAACAATGTCCTATAGGAGGAGATGCATTAAATGAACTATGGTACACCCATTCAGGACAGCTCTGCAGCATATATAAATCGGTTTTCAGGAAGAGAGACACGGGAAGTTGTTTAGAATGCAGAGAAGAAAATCTGGCTACAAATGGACACTGTCCCCAACACAATGTAAGTTCAATAAGGGGAGGAGCCACTTCCATTTCTCATTACGGTATCCCCAGTAGACAGTGCTTGTTATGAGTGCTTAAAATAATAAACACAAGTGTTTACAAAAGGGCTCCATTTGAAAAGATGTCAGTTATGTATAGAAATCCTCTAAGAATATACATTAAAATGTTAGCTTTTTGATTCTGAGTAGATGATTTTTTTTGCCAGTTGGTTTTTAAATTTTTTTAATAATGAAGCTTTATTTTCTAACCAGAACAGAAACAAATAAAGCTAAGTGAAAATATACTATTGCATGGGATTTCCAAAGTAGTTTCTATAAAATAGCCCATTTCTATATTTAGGCAGTTTACAGAGCTAGCTGGCTTCTTCTTAATCTTAGAAAGCAGCTTATTTTCAGAAATCCTTGCATTTTATCCAGGCTTATCCCTCAGTGAACAATCATGCACAGTCTGTTCAGGATTGTGATGAGTAAATGAAGTGAAAATCAAAATGAGGTAACTATTATATGCTATCTTCCCTCTCACAGTTTTCACGTAAACCATGGTTTCATTCTTCTTGGAGTAAGAACCGAGCAGAAATCTTGTTGCTCCCTAGGAGAAATGAAGCTAATGGGAACAGCCCCCTCTTCTTAGTCCTCATAAGCCACCCATCTCAAGAGAAGGAAACTGGCAAAACTCCTAGGAGCTCATTCCAAATGCTCTTAATAATTCCCTTGAGCGGTAACCATATTTTCTTGCTCAGTGTTAGACATATATTACTGAAGAATGCAATGCCTGTATTGCTAGCTATTAACAGAAGTTATATTTGATTGGCTAACAACCATGCATCAATGATCCTCCAGAGGAATGCTGAGTGTGTGGGTGTGATAGAGACCCATTCGCCTAGGCTAGATTGCCAAAGGTATTCAGCGAGGCGTTTGATTTAAAACAGGGAAATGAATATGCCCAGGGGAAGCATTTGACATATTGAATGTTACACTTCAAAGTATGTGAAAAAACACAAAAGCCCGAAGAAACTGAGTATTGGATAAAGAGAACAGTATAGATTTATTCTGTTCATTTGTATATTTGTCCCTTTTTAAAACATCTGATATTGTCAAAATCAGGAATGCAATACAACTGTAGTGCTCGGCTAAATAATAGCTACAAATTTTTGGCCATCTAGGATATTTTCTGTGCTGTATTTTGAAAATATAATCCTACCAAAATACTACTATTAAATCAAGCTTAAAACCATTCAATAGCTTTTTAAAAAGTATATTTATGGTCTATCTACAATGAAATGGAAAAGGGTTTTAATACATTATATTAGCTCAATTTTGGAGAGTATTCTATAAAAATATAATCCTTGGGAAGTTTCAAGAGAATTGGAAAAGTTGTATTAAGAAAATAGAATGAAGTATCCCAGAAGTAGCCTGCCTGGGAGGGAAGTCGTAATAGAAAAGTAACTTTCCTCTTAATATTTTGCACTCAGGAGGAAGATACTTTTCTAGAACCTTCGTGATTCACAACAGAGAACCAAAACCAATGTTATTGGTTTAAAAAGCAGAAAGTTTTTGTCTCTTCACCTGGCAAAAAATAATTCAAATCATTTTGATTTACTTTATGGTGAAATAAAAGGAAATACACTGAAAGTAATACACCATTTAATTTATTTCTCTTAATTCAATCCCAGCAATCAAAATAGGTATGGGAGTATTTCATATTTCCTGCCAAGGGCTTTTCTTTAGATTGAATCTTGTTCAGAAAATACTCAAAACAAAAGCATGCACACTGCCGACCTGCAAAATGAACATTGATCACAGGAGATTTTTCTACTTAACAAATATTTATTTAATACCCACTTGACCTGGTTTACTTAGTTCAACCAAAGTTATTAAAGATTACTATGGGATAAATAAATTTCATTCAATTTTTTTCACTCAATACAATATCTGGAAGCATCTCCAGTTGTTTATAACTTGAGAGTCCACATCCCTTTGTAGATGTTCTTTTTCTTTCTTTAGTATCCCCCTTTCAGAACTCACCCAAGACAGTGTACATACATCTATTTTAACATTTGTTACATGTTTTATAGCTCCAGTTTACTGCTCCTACTGGCTGCACACTCAGAGAAGGCAGGAATGCTATTTCATATTCATTTTTCAGTGCATAACACTTATTAAAGTGCCAGGCACACGTAGGTGGTCAATAAACATTTGTTGAAAAAAGTGATTAATTAAATACCTCTAAAAAGCTGTGAAAACAATATATCATCTACAAAATACAAGATGTTATTATTGATGACTGATGTATTAACATTAGAATGGGAAGAATGAGTGGAAATTTAGGTTCCCCCCTCCACTTATGCTCAAAAATATAGGCGACAATATTTATTTATTTATTTACTTATTTTATTTAGAGATGGACTCTTGCTCTGTCCTCCAGGCTGGAGCACTGTGGTGTGATCTCGGTTCACTACAACCTCTGCCTCCCGGGTTTAAGCAATTCTCCTGCCTCAGCCTCCCCCATAGCACAGACTACAGGCACGTGCCACCATGCCTACTAATGTTTGTATTTTTAGTAGAGAAGGGGTTTCACCATGTTGGCCAGGCTGGTCTTGAACTCCTGACCTCAAGTGATCTGCCTGCCTGGGCCTCCCAAAGTGCTGGGATTACAGGCGTGAACCACCACACTTGGCCTGAAACAACATTTAACTAAGAGTAAAGACTTGACTGGAGATGGGAGAAGGAGATTGGAGATCCTTCAGAGGATTCTTCGCTGTGTGAGTGTGGATGATGCCACCTTGATGTGGATGTTCTTGCCTAGGACGGTTGAGCTCTGGTAGGTAACCTGGCACTTGACTGGCACTCCAAGAAACAAAATATCCTTGAATTATTGTTACAGTCCAGCTTTCTTCCCTAGTTAAATAAAGAACACTTCATTAAGAAAGAAGGAGGCTTCAGATGAAATAGTTACAAAGCCCTTCCCAATGGACAACTTTTTCTTGCAGTACACATGCCTGTGACTCTCATTTATGGAGTCAAACTTTCCTAGGACCTAAGTTATTTCCTAGATATAAATCAGTCAGATTTCAAATTTTCTTTAGGGAAGGAGACGCGACTGCCTCTTTCCCATTTGTACCTAGGATTGTCCAACTCATATTCAAGAGTTTTGTTTTTTAAACATTGTCTGGCTTTAAAGTGGTATACATTTGAAATTCCCCTTCATACATATACACCCCAGTAAAACAAATTAAATAAAATATACACAATGGGGAATAAAATCCTAGAATAGGTGTCAATGACATGGTTGTTTTCCAGAATGATTCTACCAACATGTCCTCCCAGGGATTTTCTTCTCTTTATCTGAGATGAATCAGAGCTGGGGCTGCATATCGATTTTCTTCTGATGAAGTCTTCTGAGTTGAGAGAGAGGGAAGTCTGGTCCACGTCAATTTCAGTGTCATGATAACAACCATCGAAGGCCATGGCTTGAACTGCATCGATATTGTACATCCTAGAAATCTGTCAAAAAAACTTTTTTTAAAGTAGGTCCTGAATATGGTTTTACAAATAGGAATTACAATAAATAATGTTAATTAAGTTAAATATGATTTATCGAAACAGCAATAAAAGCCAATTGGATTTGTTTTTCAATGTATTTTTCTTCGTTATAGAAAATATAGCAGTATTCTCAGTCAGGGGATATATTTTTTGGTTCAAAACTAAAACCATGTCATCTGGTGATCCATTTATGCTTAAATTGGGCATGGGATAGAGAAAGATTTTAGCTGCTCCGTTCAAATGCAAATTAGCCAGGCCTTCCCATTTTTGCCTAAGAGCACCTATAAATGATCCAAACATAGCCCAATTAAACAACATAAAATTGGTTTATTTTTCTGAAGGAGCAAGTTATCAATGCTTTCTGGCTCCAGTGCCTGACTGAATCTAAACTAAAATTTTCTTTAAGGTTTTACTCTGAGGAAGACAGCGGTTCCCACTACTCTGGAGCAGTGTCTACAAAGCAGCTGTTGCTAAGTGCTCTTGGAGAACACAAAATCACTGCTTGATGTATAAGGAAGTTCAAAAATGAACAAATAGACGCTACTACTGGATGAGATTATTCACAATTCAAACTGGAAGCTGCAAAATAAATTCTGCCAAAACATGTATTTGGTTCATAGTGATTTTAAAACCTAATATTTTACTGAATTCAAAAGACATGAAGGCTATTTTGTGCAGTCAGTGAACTAATCAAAGACCCATACCTGAGTTATGTTGTGCCTTTTTATTTTCTTAAGTTTTAAATTAAAATTTGTTTCTTGTTTTAATTTATTGAGACAGGTCTCACTCCGTCATCTAGGCTGGAGTACAGTGGTGTGATTCTAGCTCACTGCAGCCTTGACCTCCTGGGCTCAAGTGATCATTCCCACCTTAACCTCCTGAGTAGCTGGGACTATAGGCACACACCACTACACTGAGCTGATTTTTTAAATCATTCATGCTCTTTTATTCAACTTTAAGCAGGGCTTGATCAGAAAGAAGAGCTCAGAAGAGCAACCCCAGCATCAGGGCATATGATTCATCCGAGGCTCTCCTGACAGTTCCAGCCCGGAGGGGCTTGGAGTGGCCTGCCATGCTCGGGCAATGGCGAGCATGAAAGCCAAACCTTGGGACCTGGAGAGTAAAGTGTCTGATCGCTCCCTGCAGATGGGCACATAACAGGTACATCTTCAGAGACAGTATTTTATTTTATTTTATTTTTAGTAGAGATGAGGTCCTGTTACGTTGCTAAGGCTGGTCTTGAACTCCTGAGCTTAGGCAATCCTTCTGCCTTGGCTTCCGAAAGTGCTGGGATTACAGGCATGAGCTGCCGCATCCAGCCAAGAAAGAAAGTAGCTATTTTTCCTCTTTCTGAGCAATGGTCAACATTAGGGATATGTTTTCCATAGACCTGCTGTTCTTCCTGTCTGAGTATCTTGGGGAGGGAGGTGGTTAGAATGTGTCTATGAACATGATGGTACTGGGTGGTAGTGGTGTGTGACGGTAGATGGTAATAATGTGAGATGGATGGTGGTGGTAGATGATGGAGGTGGTGAATGGTGGTGGGTGGTGGTGGTGAATGTTGGTGAAGGGCGATAGGTGGTGGGTGATGTTGGCTGGTGGTGGTTATGGTGGTGAGTGGCAGTGATATGTGGTGGTCATACTGGTGGTGAATGGTGGTGGTGGGTATTGGTGTCTGGTGGTGGTGGTGGGTGCTGATGGTGATGGTGGTGTTTGGTAGTGGTGGACGTTGGTCATGGTGGGTGGCAGTAAGTGGTGGTGGTGGATGGTGATGGATGATGGTGAGTGGTGGGTGGTAGGTGGTGAATGGTGGTAGTGGTGGATGTTGATGGTGGATGGTGAGTGGTGGTGAGTGGGGATGGTGGTGGTGGTAGGTGTTGGTGGGGGTGGTAGTTGGTAGTGGTAATGATTGGTGGTGTTGGTAGGTGGCAGATGGTGATGAGGGTATATGGTGGTGGGTGGTGAGTGGTGGTGGTAGATGGTGGTGGTGATGGTACTGGTGGATGGTGGGTGATGGCGGTAGATGATGGTGTTGGATAATGGTGGTGGGTAATAGGATGTAGTGGTGATTGGTGATGTTAGTGGATGGTGGTGGTATTGGTGGATGGTGGTGGGGGATGGTGGTAAACAGTGGTGGTTGATGGTATTGGGTGGCGGGCGTGGTGGTAGATGTGGGGATGTGATGGTGGTAGGTGTTGAGTGGTGGCTGGGAGTAACTGGTGGTCAGTGGGTGAGTGGGTGGTGGGTGGTGGTGTTGGTGGAAGGGTAGATGCTGGTGGTGGGTGGTAAATGATGGGTGGTGAGTGGTGGTGGTGGATGGTTGGTGGTGGGTGGTGTTGGTGGATGGTGGTTAGGGGTAGAGGGTGGTGGTGGGTGGTGGGTGGTAAGTGATGGGTGGTGAGTGGTGGTGGTGGGTGGTAAATGATAGGTGGTGAGTGGTGGTGGTGGGTGGTGGGTGGTGGTATTGGTGGATGGTGGTTAGAGGTAGAAGGTGGGTGGTGGGTGGTAAATGATAGGTGGTGGGTGGTAGTGGTGGGTGGTGATATTGGTGGGTGGTGGTTACAGGTAGAAGTTGGGTGGTGGGTGGTAAATGATAGGAGGTGAGTGGTGGTGGTGGATGGTGGTTATGAGTAGAAGGTGGGTGGTGGGTGATAAATGATGGGTGGTGGTAGATGGTGGGCGATGGTGTTGGTAGATGGTGGTTAGGGGTAGAGGATTGTGGGTGGTGGGTGGTAAGCGATGGGTGGTGAGTGGTGGTGGTGGGTGGTGGGTGGTAGTGTTGGTGGGTGGTGGTTACGGGTAGAGGCAGGTGGTGGGTGGTAAATGATAGGTGGTGAGTGGTGGTGGTGGTGGTGGATGGTGGTTAGGTGTAGAGGGTGGTGGTGGTGGTGGGTGGTAAGTGATGGGT